TGGATGGCAACCAAGGAGCCACAGGCTTCGGCCACTTTCTTGAAAATCATCGGCGACCACGCATGAAGAGGGATGTCAGCCACCGCTATCCAGATTCTCTGCTTTCTGAAGGACCTCTCTAGAGGCGACCAAGACCGAAGTTTCAGAACCGCCCTTTTGAAAGAAGGGGGAAAGCTAGCTTGAGAAATTCTCGCGGAACACTCGAGCGAGGGGAGGCTGAAGAGGATCGTACCCTTGGCCATGGCTGACAAGTGACCTAAGGCTCACCCCAGAGTTGCAGCACCCATTTCTCGATGCCCCTTATATCGTCCCTCCTCAGGGAGAAGGATCCCGCGATAGAATCTTGCAACTTTACAGTTAGGGGGTGGGACACCTCCTCCGCTGTGGAGAGAATCAGAGGTTGATAAAGTGAGCTCCTTTCCTGTGGGCTAGACTCCGAGACAAGACAAGTGACGCCCTTAACAAGGCCCTTAACGGATGTTTTGGGCACCTGGTTGAGCAAGGGGTAGCAGGAGGCTACTACTTGAGCGTATGTGGCCAAGGAAGCAGCTGATCGATAGTAGCGGTGTGAGGTTGAGGGATAAAGATTGTAGATAGCATTCCATGCTGAACGAGGGGAAGGAGGAAGGGAAGGCTTATCCATTTGAAGTCGCATATGGGCAAAACCCTACCCACTCACTAGATTCAGTTCCTATCCAAACTAATAAGGAGGGTCAAACTACTATTGATAAGTTCGTTAAGCAGATGAAAAAAGTTCATGAGCAGGTGCAAGCTGATTTGGAAGGCGACACAACCAAGTTGGTGCAAACCTAGTAGCTCAAAGCTAGGGTTTAACAAAGAAGAAGATAGGGAAGATCCAAAATTAGAGAAAGATTCATAAACCAGAGATAAAAGAAGGAGCACTTGCTGCTCTAGGGTTTTGAATAAACTCCATAACAAGATGCTTCATTATGCTTGAGTACATCTCTTATATAAGAAAACCCTAAACAAGACTTAATCCTAGCCATCCAACTAATCTAATCATGGCCATTTATTATAAAAGACTTTAAGTGAATAAAAGGACATAAAAGACTCTAGAAATTACTACTTACGCCCCTAAGTGAATAAAATGACTCAAAAAATAAATAAAAGACATAAAAGTACATATTCAATGACTATTTTCCCCTTCTACAACGCCTCTTGTAAATTTTAAGATTGTCTCTCTCATCTAGATAATCACAGTAGTATTCTGAGCTACATCACTAGTATAAAGAAGCTACAAATAAACATCGTCATTTCAAGGAATTCAATTGTGGATGATTTGGTAATGGTGTATCTTAGAAAGGAGAGGCATCCAAAAAATACAACAAGCTGAAAAACCAGAAAGCATGACCATTCAAGAGTTTGAACAAGATGGGGCAGCAACAAGGTCACTTCGCTTTCATATGTGGAGACTTCTGATGTCTTCAACGTTGCTGATTTATCCAAGTACCATGGGCCAGAGATTGATGAAGATGAAGTTCGCAACCCCTGGACGAGATCTCCTCGACGAGGGGAGAACGATGACGTGAAAAGTGTGTCAAGTGGAGAAATTGAACACTATCATCTGTGGGAGTTGTAGATTCAGCCAAATGCACACATCTATTCGGAGAATACCAACCCAAGCAGAGGTACTAAGAAAAATAAGAAGAACAAGGGCTGAATGGGATTTTTGGTTTATTTTAGGATATTTTTCCACTTGTTTTTTGTTTAGTTTTAATTTCTTTTATTTTCTAGTTCAATGAGAGACATTCTAGGTATTTTACTTTAAGTTAAGTTATATTATTTAAGTTATTTTAAGTTGGTACTGTTTTAGTCATTTTCATTTTGGTTAGGGGCATTATTCACTTCCGTAATTAGACAATGAATAAAGGAGGTGTGTGGGGCACTACTGGGGCTAGTCACATGATTTAACCCAAAAAAAAAGACAGAGAGAAAAGCTTTAGCTTTGAACCCTAGCTGCGGTTTGAAGAACAACCCCCTACGTTTCTTCAGATTTGTGTGTGTGCTTTGCCCTTGGAACTGTTACTTTTCTGTTTTCTTCATCAAAAATCAGAATCAGAATCTCAGAGTCTGTTGGGTTTGGGGATAAGGTTACAAGCATACTTACGCTGAGTAATAAAGATCCCTAATTCATCAGTTATTGGAGTAACTATGGACTTACGTGTCCTTCATATAAAAGCAGCTAAAGTGGGATTTAGCGGTGCCTTGAATCAAATACTTGAGACAGCCCAGCTGTCAAAATCTCCTATACAGAAGTTTGCCGATTTTGTAAGTTCCACTGTTTCATGAAGAAATGAATCTAGGTTGTCTTCTGCCAAATGCTAGATATCATGCCATAAAATGAGTGGCTCCAGCTATTGGTGAATACAACATCGGGCTTCATCCACTATTGGGAAAAAATTTATTTTTCACTCGATTATTATCTGTTGACCCAGTTATGTATCAATAAATAAAAGAAAGTTGATCCCAGGTTTATATCAAGAAATAAAATAAATTTGGTCGTTTCACGAGAAAGTAGTAGACGTCATTTAGTATTTTACATGATTCTTTATTTTTTTATTATTCTAGGTCACTTTGCATAGTTTTTGACACAACCTAGGGAAAAATTTATGCTTCAATTTTAAAGTGTGTTGTTGCAATATATCATTTTTAGTTCCCTAAATGTGATAGTCAGTTCATTATTTATTTATTTATTATGGGATTGCCCATAACAATCAAAAAAAGAGTGCCCTGAGGATGTTGTAGCATTTTGAAAACCACACTGGATCTACCAGTTTGACTGACTTGGAATGGAATAAATTCTGTTTCTGTTAAGCCTTGGAGCAGGCTAATCATCTGGTCCAGTTGATCCTAAACTCAGTAAATCTAGAGAATGGGTCAGAACTCAGAACCAGGTTAAACCAGTTTGGCCTAGAACCAGGCTGAACCAGCGAATGAAACCACCCTGTGCTCACTATTTTTCCTAACAACTTATAATATTTTTGTCTCACTTGGCTCTGGACCTTGCCCTTCTTCAACCTGGCCGTCAGTTGTCATTTCAAAAAATTATTTGAGGCAGTGTTACTGATTGATAAGTTGACAACATATAAGGGCTGAGTTTACTCCCTTCAATACTAGTCAAAAACATGAAATACACAATAATCTGCAGGAGAAACATCACCATGAACATCTGCAGGAATTCCATTTATAAGATGAACAGAGATCCGAACAACCTCTGCCCACTAACCACCAGGAACACTGGGTTGCTGACACACGAGCCATCTCCATAATATGTCAATTCTTGTTCCAACTTCCAACCAGTTTGTTATTGGGTATGTGGACATGTGCACTGGTGGATGATAGCATTATGACTTAAAATATCTTAAAACTTCTAGATGGGTATTCACCACCAGAATCAATCCCGGGAGTCTTAATGTTCTTTTCAAACCGGGTTTGAATTATTTTGTGAAAGGCAAAGAACACATCACAATCATCATATTCATTTTTCAAGAAGTACATCCAAGTATGATAGAAATCATCCGCAACGATAACACAATATTGGGGATGAATTTTGGAAAAAAGACAGGAGAAGGGCCCGAGACGTCACAATGAACAGGACCAAACATATTCTCACTTCTACTTTCAAAGATAAGAAAAGGCAATGTCGATAGAGTGTCCAACCAACACTTATCACAAACTAATTCACTATTAAAATTATGAAGAAAACTGCATGAAGAAGGAACAGTTTCCAACTTAAGTAACTTCTTGAGCCTATCAAAGCCAAAATGACATTGACGCCTATACTATAGATGCCAAGTCTTGAACACTGAGGTACTGCAATTGATGAACTACCACTAACAGGATCTAAAACTAATCTAGGTAAAACAGTTGACACACTTTATGATCTTTCCCAGTCAGCTTCCTTGTCAAGATTTTCTAAATTAGGCAAACATCACGAATAAACAGAACCAAGCAATTTTGATCGGTTAACAGACAAGCAGATAGCACATTAATGGTAAACTGAGGAAACAAATAATACAATGCAAGTCTTGGAAAAAAAAGTGTGTTAAACTGAGCCTACTCCATTGATACTGGGTTTAGATGAGAGGGACTGATTTTCTTCAAAGAAAATTGAACAGGATATTAATTTTATATTCCTAGTCAAATGACTGGTTGGACCAGAATCAAGAAACAGGAAGACTAAGATGATTTGAATAATGCATGAGGTACCCTAACAATGAAGGGCCAGGAATGCTTTAAAAACCTGCTAAGTTGTCTCCTCAAAAAGAGATCCATGAGCATTAACATAAGAAGCACCTATGGCCTAGGTTTTAAAATGATATCACAGTTGAAGAACTCATGATACCAGAACTTGAGGAGGAAGTGAGAGTGGCTGCTCCAAGTGCTCCACAAGCAGACTCCACTGCTCAAGAAAGACTTGCATCAAGTTTATAACCTCTTGTCAGCTATAGTCTGATAATTAGTACGTCCATACTCTCGCTTTTTTTTGCTCCCTTTTAGAGGTTCTTAATAGGTCCAGTGCTTTAAACTTGTTTCCATGCAGAAATGACACAGGTTAAGCAGCCCTGGGGAGATTCATGGTGGTACAAGGTTTGGACCCATCAGATAATAACTATAAGGCGTTCATCATCCACAATGGTATCTCATTTGAACTTTTGAAGTTTCGCATAGATTTTCAAGTAGAGTTATTTCATTGTTTTAAAACAACAGCAGTTTCAAAATAGTTCACAGGACACGACTCACAAATAATATATAGGCATCAGCAAACAGAAACAAAACATAGATTTCCAAGTAAATCAACAAACAAGCCACCAGTTAGTCATATGCCAGGGTAAAACAAATAGAAAAATGAAAATCGTAAAAAGTTTGCATCACTTCTCTTAGTTTCATTTGATAGAATAATATGCAGTCTAGCACTGTAAGTTATAAACATACTAAATTAGATGATCATAAATAATATTTCCTGTATGATAGCTCACCATAGACAATATTATTCCTTCTATAGCTTGACTATGAAGAAAGACGTCACGAAAGTTCATCGGTTCTCCAACCATATCAGAATCAAAGTATAGGACCTATTCATATAACCATGAAGAACAAGATTACAACACACATGGAAAGTAGCATATCTCAGTATTAGATTTGACAATAACATCCAAAAACCATCTAACTGCAAACCAAAATTGTGCACAGTTTGTGGTGAGAGCATAACAGAATAATTGGTTCATACAAATTACAAGCAATTAATGTGTCCTTGAACGAACAAGCCAAAATGGCCAGTATCAAGATCAATCAGGAAAGAAAAACAAGCTACACGTAACAAAAATTGCCAAAACATGGCATAGAATATCCTGACTCTCACAAGAACCAAACACTTTCTCAGCCAATAAGTAGGAGAGGCACTTTGCATTTGACTGAAAATACTGACAAGCAATACAGCACAATATTCTGATTCAAAATCCACTCAAGGGAGTACTCCAATATATAATCTAGCAAATTTCAGGAAGTGGAAGCATGCTGCCAATGGATTCATTGATGGATTACTTCCTACACTTAACTCCAAATCTAAGAAGTAGGCAGCCGAACCAGGACACTCACCCCACCCCTCCCACTTGTCATATTAAAACCTGAAAATTTCTAAAAAGAGTAGGCATATCATACCTCACAAATGCTCCAGTCTCATTCAGGATTTATTTATCTGTCTGACTTAAGTTTATGCTGAACAAAAGAAGAATTTTACATTAAGCAGTTACAACAAATTCTTCATATTTTTGTTTCAATTGACAAATATAATGAACTCTTCTGAAGAAAGAAATCCCTATATAATGAACTCTGCTGAAAGAAGGAAATCCCTCTATGCCATCTTAACGTTCCGCAGCTAAAAACAAAACTAAATTTGAAGAATCAAACAGGGAAAAGAAGGTTTTTTTTTGTTTTTTTTTTAAGGGGGGGGGGGGGGGGGGCGGGGGAGGGGTTGTTGTCACAGGGAAAAAAAGAGAGTGAGAGTGTCATGGGCATTTTGGCTGGGTTAACAATATGTAGTAATGTAGCCAAATGACACCTCTAAAAGAGTGATAAGAATAATGCAATTGTTGGTGACTGAACATGACATAGAATAATGTACAATGTTATTCGATGACACAATATTTTGCTCTTTACAGTTTCTCACGAGATTTATTATCAATATCACACATATGGACTATAAAAGCAGGTTTGGGCTTCATACAAAGAAAGCACCACCATAAAGTCAAGAACAACCATACAAATTTGTATGTGCAAAATGAATATTGGAAACATAACATAGAATCTTCAGATTGAAAGTTACAACTTACCAACAGGGCCTTTCTTGGTGATAAGTTGGTGTCATCAAGAACGTGAGGTGACTCCTGATTTTTTTCTTTGTTATCACCAGAAACTTCAGATGCCATTTCAATTTCTTTGAGTGCAAGCAACCATCTTCTTAGTAGCTGTATCCTTTCCATCCCTCTGCAGGACACCGCAACTTCTTCCAATCTTTTGACAGTATGCTTAAAGCTTTTGAAATTGCGAGCACCCTGGAAAAAGTAAAACATATAACTGAATTAATTCCAAACAAAATAAAATGTAAAGACGTTACTAGTGGTTTAATCATTTACTGCGACAAAATGAGGATCAATGCCACTAGGTGATGAAAAATTCAAATGGCAGACAAGACCAAAGCTTGTTGATATGAAATTTTATTATCAAATTTTACCAGATCATCATTGAGAGGAATACGAGGAACAACTGAAGGGCCTAAATCATTACAAAGTAGCAAGACATCACAACAGAGGGAGTCTAAGGTACATTCTATGTCCACAAGAGCTACGATGTCTGATCATCAGTAATTTTCATGATCCTCAGAGGGCATGCATTTTCCATCTCTGGCCCAAACCAGCACAGGGCAAATTTACCCATGACCGCAGATGACTATATGCATACTCATACACGTTCTTTCCATATAATCATAAGTTTTAATCAAACACATGTGAGTATTACCGCTGATATTTGGGTCCACTTGTTTGCTCAGGCTAGTGACTCATGCTGCTGACAACCCTTGCTTCATCTTGCAGATCAATTCCATTTCAAACCATCTGTTAAGGTATTTATACATTGTACATTTCCTAATTCCTTTCAAACTTCATTCTAACTGCAAAACACAGATTGTTCTGGCCAAGGTGACAAACTCAAAACTTCTGAATAGGTGAAGCACAGTCCCAAACAAATAACTTCACAACAAACCTAGATGGTAAAAGTTCCAAAGACAAGACGAAGAGGAATATCCATAAAGGCTTGAGTACATTCTTTAAAAGAAAACGAGCATCAATTATATTCCAGTAAAAAGTTTTAGATTTTTCATAAATAGTAGATTACAGTAGCCCACAATTAAAAACGAGGGGAGTAGGGAAATAATTTCTCTATCTGATATAGGATGTCAACTGCTATCTAAACAGCCAAAGAACCTTCCTCATGGTGCTGGGCATTCTGCAAATCTATAGGGCAAGAACATCTCCTAGCATAAGTGCACACAGTTAGCAAACAAATGAGTAGAAATGCATACAAATATGCAACACGAATATTGGAAGATTGGGCATGTGGCCATCCATATAACACCAATCCCAGAAGTCTAATATGAAGTAATTAAATTGATAGTGGGGAATGGATTGGGGAATCGGTGGTTCGGGGGTGGGTGGGGGGGCCAGATGCCTCAACATAATGTCCCAGCCTCCATTCCCACCATTGACATATCAAAAAAAAAGTTGACAATAAGATTGGTCAGAAAAAAGGGAAGTGATCTTGAACGATCATGTGGAAAACCACCAACACCACAATATCACATGAGACATTTAAATATCAGTCTCAATAACAGAGAATAAGCATACTAAGAGGATATTTTGGTAGAACCGAGTTTGATATAATATTGCATAGCTGATGACTCAAGGTTAAGGTCATAAAAGACACTCCCATAATGCGGTAAGTAGCTTGATAATGGTTATGTTCATGTTGTGTATCCCATAAAATTGTTTCACCAAGGCGAATACATAGAAATACGGTGTTGGCAATTTGACATGCCCTATGAAGTGTTCAAAAACTCAGGTGTAGGAGTTGGGACTTCCCCAAGTCAGCTAGGATGGGTCTCTTGTGCGTAACAAGCGAACTCATATGGAGTAAAACATCAGCAAGTCTCATAAAGATTCACTGAGTTAATGATTCAAGTTCTAATTCATCAAGTCATATCCCAGCCTTTTTAAGTCTTACCCTAGTCTTAGCCAACTTTTGTCAAAAACACTTTAGAGTAACCAAATCTTGGTGATTAAGATCCAAATGAAGGTATCATCAAGGAGGCTGAAGGGGTACTGCCACATACCCCAATGAAGGGGTTTGAGCAAGGGACTGGCAAATCCATGAGGGGGTTCAAGTAGTGATGTAGGGAAGGCAAGGTAGAAAATTACATCGACCTTTTCCCTTTACCTCAAACAAATAAAAATCAGCAATAATAGAGAAAAAGCATGATTGTATATCAAGTCAAGAGAAGAACTTTCTTCTTTCATAAAATAAAATTCATTCCAATAACATAAGCATCCCAAAATGTGACGTTCCACCTGTTTTAAGCCGATGAAACCTAAAATTAACTTGAGATCCAAGTAAACAATTTAAGGCTCTACAGTATCCCTAAACAATAGAAATACCCCTTTGAATAGTACCCATCAATAGTATTTGTAAACAGTGCCCATGAATAGTAACCAGAGAACAGTAAAAAAGGAAAATAAAAAATAAAAATTAAGTGTTGGAAATTAACGCCACGTTATAATCCCTAAAGAATAACCCTAATAAAAAAATGTACAACCACATCTATGAAGTTAAAAAATTAAATTAAATTAAAGTTTTGAATCACCCAGCTCTTGATCTCCACCATTCTCCCCTAGTTGGAGAAAACTCACACTCGAGTTTTGAAATGGGTAAATATGAATCCTCTAAATACAAGGCCTCTCTCAACCCAAATATTACGCATTGACATTGGGGCTTGATCCTGGGACCTATGGGTTATGGGCCTGATCAAAATATCCTCGAAAATATTCTCCAACAAGTTGATCATTTTGGTGCACCCAACAATAGTAGTCCCTGCCCTTGTGGTTTGAAATCCTACAATTGGAAATAGGAAAGGTCAACCCCACTATTGGTGAGAGAAAAGAGCTCTTTTCAGTCGCTGCCTCCAATTATCTCCTCTTTTAACTCTTCATCACCACCACTATCACAATCATTACCATCATTGCAGCGACCATCACCATCGCCTGTGACAAGATGGGAAATCCACGTTATTCGATTTCATCCAATGGTCCATCAAAAATAGAATCACCATCAAAGATAGGATCACCTAGTTCTTTATCCAAACTAAGATTACTATCAAAGATAAGAGCATTATCAAAGATAGGACCATCTACTGATTCAAAGAATATTGAATCCAATTGAAAATTGGATCCTTGTTGTTCTCCTTCAAACTTATGCTCCCCTCGATGAAATTGTGCATCATACCCATCTTCATAAACTTGACACATCATCAATTTAATCCCACTCAAACTCGGACTCTGCCTTGCGTCGATCTTTATAAAAACATTCACGATTTAGATCTATCCATGTAGATTCCTTTTCATTTAGGGCACATTGTTGTTAATCTCGCTTGCGCAACCAGCCATAGAAATCTCTAACCGTCTTTGAACCGAGCTCTAATACCACTTGATGCAGGAAGGCAAGGTAGAAATTAAATCCACCTTTTTTCCGAACTTTAAACAAGTAAAAATCAGCAATAATGGAGAAAAAGCATGGCTGTAAATCAAGCCAAGAGAAGAACTTTATTTTTTCATAAAATAAAATTCATTCCAATAACATAAGCATCCCATAATATAATGTCACACCTTTTATAAGTCTATGAAACCCTAAAATTAACTTGAAATCCAAGTACACAATTTAAAGTCTCTAAAATACCCCTAATTAATACTAAAATCCCTTAATAACCTGTGAACAATACCCATAAATACCATCTGTGAACAGTACTCATAAATAGTAACCTACGAATAGTACAAAAAGAAAAAAAATAGAAATTAAGCCTTGGAGATTAACCTCATGTTACAATCCCTAAAAAATTAAGCCTAATAAAAAATAAAATGTACACTCATATCTATTTAATTAAAAGCTAAATTTAAATTAAATTTTTTAGTCTCCTAGCTCTTATAATCCATCAAGTAGCTCATGAACTCATTTAGTCCATATGCAATGTCGTGTATCTTGGAGTTGTATAGTACACCTTGAGAAGGCCTATGGTCGTATTGACTGCAAATTTCTAGAGCACATGCTCAAATATGTAAGTTTCAAGAAGGTTGGATCTAATTGGTAAGAGCATGTATTCCACGCACAACTTTTTCCAGCATTGGTAAGCATAAAGGTTAAAGCTCAAGAGTTTTAAGAAAATGGACCGATTGGGCAACATGTCACTGCAAATAAGATTGGCAATAAAATACACAACTCCCATGATATTGTGATCCCTATTTAAAAATTAATCTCACATCACTCCTAGTTGAAAGAACCTAGGACCTTTAACTTATTACATTCATTATCAAATGCATGACCTCCACATGAGGAGCATAATATATGCAACACCCTCCCTGACATATACATGGAAGAAAAGAAAAAAGGAGGATCTAGAACTGAATTCCAAAGGTTATCGAGAGCAATCTATTTTGCTTGGAAATGAACTTGTTAGAGCCTCTACACTAGCTTTGAAGACTCTTAGATATTTATTCGAGAGTGAAAGTACAACATCATTATACGTATGTAGATCCACACTTTGAAGGCTATAAGAAGGGACCCACTGCATAATTCTAAAGTTGATAAAAAAGCAGTCTATTTGTCTTGGAACTTACCTTGTTAGAGCCTCTACGCTACTTCAAGGACTCTTACATATCTTCTTCAAGAGTGGAAATACAACATCAATATGCATGAGTACATCCATAATTTGAAGGTTAAAATGTATCCCATACCTGTCCTAATGGAACATTCAATCTGCTGAAGCAGATAAAATAGTCCCTAAAACACCAAGTACATCCCCAAGTATGATAGAGAACACGCTTCTCATAGGGGTTCTAATGCATTAAATGCAGATTAAGAATGCATAACATTGAAATCATGATTTCAATTCCCAATACTAGACACAGTAGTAAGCATTCTGCCTCTCATTCTGCCTCTCCAACTAGCCATCTCCATGGGAGTTAACACTAAAGCAGAGAGGTCAAACATCTCACATGCACTGGGACGATTTCAAAAACTGAGATGTTTGAAAATGAGAGTCCATCACCAAAAGGATTGCACTTTCTTAGACATTACTAGAATTGATTTTAGGAATTGATTTTTATTCATATTTTATGTTGTTTGCCACCTTGTCTCCTATGACATCAGATTCCCCACACAATAATCCTGTATTGTATTTCTCAACTCATATTCAAAATCCCAAAATTAACCAGAGGTTTATATGGTGCTATGAATCCTTCCTACCACAATGAAATCCTCTTTCTGCATCTAATATTCACAAACTCAAATGCAGCCTCCTCCAGTTGAAAAACTAAGACATCTTGCAAACCAACAATGCATCCACACATAATAAACAATGCTAGGCGTTCTGGAACCATGATTGAAAACAGAAAACCTAAATGCCAACCCAAATGGACCCAAATATTCCACAGCCGAGAGCATAGAAGGGAATCCCAATTCAATGAGATCAATCTACTAATTACACACCACCCATTTGCCACCATAAAAACCCAAATTATATAAACACAAGTACAAATTCTCCATGAAAAAAAAGAGAAAAAGCATAAATTAGATACGAAGAAAAGAAAAAAAGAAACGGAAGAGGGACAATAAGTGACCATGCGATCTTGGAAGATTTTGGCACCCTCTGCAACAGCTTGACCGGCATGCTGGACAACAGTGTCCGCGTAATTGCGGACGGTGCGTGTCAAGTTGTTCTTCCCGCCAACCTCCACCGCCTTGCTCACTGCAGATCTCAGCCACGACATTCTTTGGGCTTTCTTTTTGCTCCTCAAAAGATGAGAGAGAAATTGTTAATCTACAAACCAGTACGTCGGTTTTGTATGTAAGCGTGGAGAGTATATAGAATTGTAGAGAGAGAAGCAGAGCGAGACTTTCAGGTGAAGGGATAGAGAGGAGAGATGTTAGAGAGAGAGAGAGAGAGAGAGGGAGGAGGCGACTATGTGGCAGGTTAAACGCGAAAGCGTGAAATCCTGGGTCAGCGGTGGCCCATTGGGATGTCTTGATTTTCGGGGCTACTTCCGGTTCTTCTCCCTGTATGTGGAATTTAATGGATTCCTCTTTAATGAAGTTAGTAGGATTGGGGATTGTATATAATGAGACCCATATTTTATTTTTATTTATTTTTTTTTAATGGGAGGTCATAATTATTTATCAATGTAACACCTGATAGCCGAGGTGTTTCTTAAAGTTCCAGAAAAAAAATTGAACTTAGAGCCTGACAGCTACCCAATTTCACATCCAATGGTCAAAGATTAATTGGGACCACTTTTTGCAAAAGTTAAATTGTCTTATTATATACTATCCCAAAAGATTATATTGTTTCATTGGTCGGAATGCTTTTACTAGTGAAATGCACACTCGGCACCCGTGTTTTGTAAAAGTATGAGGCATATAAAAAGTTAAAAAAAAAAAATTTAAAACATGTAAGAAATCAAAATTATGTTTCCCAAAAATAAGATACCAAGATATTGGTACAAAGAAATAAGCTACAATTAGTATGTATAAATTCAAATGTCATGCCTTTCAAAATTAGATGTATAGATGTTCCATAAATAGTCATATTACTTAGACCCAGATTTATTTATAACAACCCAAAATCTTAAACAATTAGAGAGTGAGTGAGCGTTGAAAATGGAAAATAAAATATTGGTTCTTGCAATATTGTCTTCAATTCATAATAACCCAAAATCTTAGACAATGAGAGAGAGAGAGTGAATGTGTATTCAATATGAAAAAGGTAAATATTGGTTCAAGAAATGTAGTCCTCAATGATTAATTAAACTATAAGACATTCTGATGGCATGTAAATTGTGATGATATATTTAGTGCTCTGCTGTTTAGGTCGGAGGCATGGGCCCCGCAGCCCGAGGGCACACAGAACTATGGGGAGCGACGTCAAGGCCGTCGAGCAATGCGTAGTCAATGGGGGTGAATGCGGCCCCTACCGACAATGAGGGCACACGTAGGCCCCACGGTTCAATAACCTTGTAAGAAGGCCCCATGACAATGTGCGAGCATAACTTTTCGCTCCAATGTCAAAATCGTTGTTGGCACACCATTTCAAAAATTACATCAAAAGCTCTATAACCCATATGAGGAGCGCCCAGTTAAAATGGTGCACCGAAGTTGAAATTGCTATTGGCACCCCATTTCAAATATGGCATCAAAAGCTCTATAACCCGCATTTAGAGCTCCCAGTCAAAATGGGTTACCCGAGCAAAACGAGAACTGGCGGCCGCAACAAAAAGGGGTGTGGAGACAAAAACTTCCAAGCAGGACACTCATCCTAGTACTACTCTTGCCCAAGCATGCTTAACTTCGAAGTTCTAATGGAATCTACTGCATTACTGTTGGTATGATCACACCAGACATGGAGAGGGCTGCCACGATTGACATAGAACCGCAACGGTGGTGGCCTCCCGGCATGGGGTTCGAGGCACAAGTCCCGCACCCCAAGGGCTCATAGAGATATGGGGAGCGGAGTCAGGGCCGTCGAGTGATGTCTAGTCCATGGGGGCACATGCGACCCCTACCGACCGTTAGGGCACCCGCGGGCCCCAGGGTTCATGACCCTTACAAGAAGGCCCCAAGACTTCGTGCGGGCATTACTTTTTGCTCTGATGTCGAAATCACTACTGGAAACCCATTTCGAAAAATGGCATTGAAAGCTTTATGACCCGCATTTGGAGCTCTGAGTCAAAATGGGTAGCTCGAGCAAAACGAGAAGTGGCGGCCGCAACAAATAGGGTTATGACACAAGGACTTCCCATGAGGTCACCCATTCTAGTACTACTCTTGCACAAACACGCTTAACTTCGAAGTTCTGATGGGATCTGATGCAATAGTGCTTGTATGAGCACCGATAGGGAGAGGGCTGCCAGGAATGATATAGTATCGCAACAGTGGTGGCTTCCCAAAATGGGGTCGGAGGCGTGGACCCCGCGGCTCTTGGGCTCACAGATATGGGGAGCGACATCATGGCTGTCAAACTACGCGTGGTCAGTGTGGGAGCATGCGACCCCTACCCATGGGGTGGGTATGCGCGGGCCCCATGGTTCGAAACCATTGCAAGAAGGGCCCAAGACTTCGTGCAGGCATAACTTTTCGCTCTGATATCAAAATCGCTATTGGCATCCCATTTCGGAAATGGCATCGAAAGCTCTATAACTCTCATTGGGAGATCCTAGTCAACATGGGTTGCCCGAGGAAAAACAGAAGGGACAACTGCAACAAAAAGGGGTGTGACACAAGGACTTCCCAGTACGTCACCCATCCTAATACTACTCTTGCCCAAGCACGCTTAACTTTGGAGTACTACTTTTACTCAAGCACGCTTAACTTCGGAGTTCATATAGGATCCGGTGCACTAGAGCAAGTATGACCGCACCCAACATGGAGAGGGCTGCCAGGAATGACATAGTGTCGCAACAGTGGTAGCCTCCCGGCATGGGGTCGGAGGCATAGGATCCGCGGCCCGAGGGCTAACGAAGATATGGGGAGCGGTGTTAGGGCCGTCGAGCGACACGTAATCCGTGGGTGCGCATGTAACCCCTACCGACGGTGAGGAGAAGCACTGGCCCCATGGTTCGAGACCCTTGCAAGAAGGCACCATGACTTCGTGCGGGCAAAACTATTCGCTCCCATGTCAAAATTGCTATTGGCACCACATTTTGGAAAATGGCATTGAAAGCTCTATAAGCCGCATTTTGAGGTCCCAGTCAAAATCGATTGCCGGAGCAGAAAGAGAATTTCCGGTCGCAACAAAAAGGGGAGCAACACAAGGACTTCTCAGGAGATCACCCATCATAATACTACTCTTACCCAAGCACGTTTAACTTCGGAGTTTTGATGGGATCCAATGCATTAATGCTAGTATGACAACGCCAGACATGGAGAGGGCTGCCAAGAATGAAATATTATTGCAACATTGATGACCTCCTGGTATGGGCTCGAAGGTGCAGGCCCCGTGGCGCGAGTGGTGACGGAGATATGGCGAGCGGAGTGGTGGTCGTCGAACGACTCATAGTCAGTGGGGACGCATGCGACCCCGACCGATGGTGAGGGTACGCACGGGCCCCACAGTTCGAGACCCATGCAAGAAGGCCCCCATGAATTTGTGTGGGAATAGCTTTTTGCTCCAACGTCGAAATCGCAATTGGCACCCCATTTCGAAAATGCCATCGAATGCTCTATAACCCGCATTTGGAGCTCCCAGTCAAAATCGGTTGCCCGAGAAGAAAGAGAAATGGAGGTCGCAACAAAAAGCAGTGTGGCACAAGGAATTCCCAGAAGCTCACCCATCATAGTATTACTCTTGCAAAAGCAAGCTTAACATCGGAGTTCTGATGGGATCCGGTGCATTAGTGTTGTTATGACAGCACCGGACATGGAGAGGGCTGCCATGATTAACATAACATCTCAACATTGATGGAATCCCAGCATGGGGTCGGAGGCATTGGCCCAGCAGCCCGAGGGCTCACGGAGATATGGGGAGCAGCGTTGGGGCGGTCGAATGATGCATAGGCAATGGGGACGCATGCGGCCCCTATAGACGGTGAGGTCACGTGTGAGCCCCATGGTTCGAGACCCGTGCAAGAAGGCCCCATGACTCGTGCGGGCATAACTTTTCACTCCCATGTCGAAATCGCAATTGACACCCCATTTCAAAATTTCATCGAAAGCTCTATAACCTGAATTTGGAGGTCCCTATCAAAATCGGTTTACCGAGCACAAAGAGAATTGGCAGTCGCAATAAAAAGGGGTGCGACACAAGGACTTCCCAAGAGGTCACCCATCCTAGTACTACTCTTGCCCAAGCACGCTTAACTTCGGAGTTCTGATGGGATCCGGTGCATTAGTGCTGGTATGACCGCACCCCTCATGGAGAGGGCTGGCAAGAAATGACATAATATCGCGACATTGATGGCCTCCCGGCATTGGCTCGGAGGCGAGGACCCCACGGCCCGAGGGCTCACGGATGTATGGGGAGCGGCGTCGGGGCCGTCGAACGACGCGTGGTCCGTGGGGGCGCATGTGGCCCCTACCGACGGTGACGGCACGCGCGGGCCCCATCGTTCGCAAGAAGGCCCCATGACTTCGTGCGGGCATAACTTTTCGCTCCCAATGCCGAAATCGCAACTGGCACCCCATTCCGAAAAAAATGGCATCGAAAGCTCTGTAGCCCGCATTTGGAGCAGAAAGAGAATTGGCGGCCGCAACAAAAAGGGGTGCGACACAAGGACTTCCCAGGAGGTCACCCATCCTAGTACTACTCTTGCCCAAGCACGCTTAACTTGCTCCCCCCCTCTCCCCGCCACACATTTACGTCACTGGGGGCTTATTGGTCGATTGGTCTTTTAGTGGTGGCCAAAGAACGTTTTTGACCTATGTCCCTTCAATATGATCTAACGTTTTGCTCGTAATTCCGATTGGGGCATATTGGTACTCTACGGAAAGCTCTTTCTGAGCTCTACGCCATGGCAACCTACCTGAAGGTGGGTTGGCCCAACCGCGTTCTCCAAAAAGTGCTTTTAAAGGCCCCAAAATTCTCATCGAAGTTTGAACTGATTTTCATGATGAGATTGAAAACTCCTGTTCTTGAGTGGGGACAACGGCTGTATCCTCGATGGAACCAAGGTTGTGGGCAATCAACCTGCTCTATCCCCACCTTATAATGAGGGATATGAAATCCGCACCAACCCCATTCAACACACCTATGTTCCCCGCCTTATGGTTCGTGGCATCTAACACTCGTTCCACTTTTATGCACCCTCTCTACTCGCCTTCAAAATGAGGCCATGATCCCATGGGAGCCATTTATGGGGTATTGGACACTATTGGAGTTATTCATGAAGGATAAGCTGGGCCGTTATATTGTCAAAATTTCGTTAGTACCTAATTAGGGCATGACAATGAAAGACAAGCGTACATTCAGCCACCTTTACAACCTAACATGGGAATTGGTTGTCCCCACACTTGCGACACAACCCCTCAATCCTCTTGTCACGCTTCCCACCTTGCGTTGACCCCACACATAACAAGGG